GTGGAATTCTACCAAACGTTATACAAGTGACTCCATCCTTCTTAACTCTTCCAAAAAATAGAAGAGAGAACACTTCTTAATGCATTCTATGATGCCAACATTACCGTGATCCCAAAGCCAGACAAAGACATCACAAGAAAAGCAAATCGCAGACTAATATCCCTTATGAATGTAGAATTGAAAATTCTCAACAAAATATTAGCAGATGAGTCCAACAGCATAGTAAAAGAATTATACACCATGATCTGGTGGAAATTATCCTAGGAATGCAAGAGTTTTTCAGTATTAGAAAATCAGTCAATATAATATACCACATTAATAGAACAAAGGAAAAGAACTACACGTTCATCTCAGTCAATGCAGAAAAGGCGTTTGACAAAGTCTAACACCCTTTCCTGATATAAAAACACCCAACAAGCAAGTATAATAGAAGGGAAATTCTTCAGTATGATTAAGAGCATCTGTGAAAAACCGACAGGTAATATACTCAATGGAAACAGACTGGTGCTTTCCCCCTAAGATCATGAACAAGACAAGTATGCCCACTGTAATCTAACCTTGTCTGACTTCGAGAGAAGGAATGAGAATCACCATCAGCACAAAACTGATTCCTGTGAGGGCAGAGGTCAGACATACCTCCACTCTCCAAGTTTTTCACCATTTCTGACAGTAGTCGTCTCCCCCACCAACACTCTCTACTTCTCTGCTTGGTTTGAGAGTTTGTTGCAGTGGCCACACAGAACTCACAGACCATACTCACAATTTGTGATTTATTAGGGAAATAACAGGTTACAGTTCAGGATAGGATCAATATGGAAGTAACAGGAACAACTCAGGATACAGTTCTTTGATCAGGACAGCTTTCAGTCAAGACAGCTCTCAGCTTCTTCTCGGCCATACCTGCAGGCAGATGGTCCTTCTCTTTGCGGTGCCTGCCACTGGGCCTTCTCTTTGCCTCTGCCCTGCTCAGGCAAGTGTTACAGCTCTTTAGCTCAACAGACGAATACCCAGAGGCACTCCACTCCACCAGCAAGCTTCCTGCCTAATGGCACTCAACTCTCTAGCTTGTCAGCAAGCCCACTACAGCCACCTTGCGCCAGTCTCCTGG